AGATGCAAAAGGGGGAGAAGAGAGAAAGAAGGAGGAAAAAAGCCTAGAAAGAGCAGCCCCAGTGGGCAATATGGGCTTGTGCCAAAGCTGCTTCTGCAAAGGACAGGATTCTTAAATCTCTTCCCCAAATTATCTCAAGACATTCAGGACAAACATTCCTAAATGTGATGGATATCAACTGTATCCAACATTTAGTGAAACTATAGTTTAGGAAAGACATCTGAGTTTTGCTGTGCATCCCATTGTCTCATGCAGCTGGAAGTGCTGCAAAGTCTAAGGTGAAATTTAGTTAAACTGAAGTAATTTAGGGAGACTAAAAATATTTTTCTATTTAGGAACAAGCAAATTATTATAAAATAGTTATTTCAAAATGATGGGTATAAACAGCCACAGTAGTGATTTCCTTGTGCAACAAGCCAAAAGAAATAGGAATGTAAAAAGTAGCATATCCTCTCACATTCCTCAAAATACCATCAGTAATGCCTTAATTTCCTAAAATAAAGCCATGGTGAATTAAATAGGTTATACGTGTCTATTAGGGGGATTATATATTGTAATCACAATTACAGGTCTTAAAATAAAGCTATTTCTAATCCCTCCAAAAGATGCTTAATAATGATTAGATTACTGAGGGACTGATTAAGGGAAGAAATTAGCTTTAGAAGCAGCCACAGTGAGCAAATTATGTAATCCAAACATGGTGTGGAAAAAGAAGCACTTTCCAATTTCGAGAGATGTTAAAAGTGAGGCTTTGCCAGAATCCCCTCACTTTTCAGTTAGGCTTTGTCCTTACAGAGAAATGGAAAAAACCAAAAACCAAATTCAACAAAAAAACTCCCAAAAAGATAAATAAGAGACTTTCAAGTTTTTTTCTGCAAAGTAGCCTGTACACCATAGTAACCCCAAACATGTTCATTATGAATCACAGAACCCACAGGCTGGTTTGGGTTGGAAGGGACCTTACAGCTGATCCAGTGCCAGCCCTGCCTGGGGCAGGGACATTTTCCACTGTCCCAGGCTGCTCCAAGCCCCACCCAACCTGGCCTTGGGCACTGCCAGACCTAGATAAGCCATATCTTGATTTAACATGTGATGGTGAGGGCAAAAGCAGGTGAATTTCCCAGTGTTACCTCAGATCATCCACCCTGCACAGCCCTAGGAGGAGAAAGCAGCTTTGGAGCCGCTCTCCTCTCACTGCTCTGGAATCACATTTTCTTCATGCCAGTAATCCACACTGACATCTCATTTAAAATGAAGATTTGTAAGTCTAAAAGAGAGGGGGACTCATCTGCCTCTTCTAGGAATAAACCAACGAAAGGACATTAATCTAAAATGGAAAGAAAATATTAAGTATAATCTTTCATTTTTCTCTTTTTGAACTATGGTATGGAGTTTGCATTGTGGCAGATAATAAGACAAAGCAGGACAAATGGGAAACCCTCTGGAGTCAGTGGCAATGCTCTCCTTGACATCCATAAAATGAAGACTTGGCCCAAGGCATTTGAATCTGATTGTGAGATACAACTGCAATAAGAATGGCTGAACAGGGAAAAAGCTCCAAAATATGTTAAATCTGCTGCCACAGAAGATAGGAAATGATAGTTCCCTTTCAGTGACATGCTGAAGGAATTGTATTTCAACAATATGCAGAGATGGACAGAAAGGAAAGAGGCTCAACTGTCCAGAAAAGAACTCATTTAGGAAAAAGGGGAAAAAAAGAGTATTTTTAGCTACCCTACTGCCTTCCAAAAGAACAGCTTGTGTGTTCTGTACTACCCCAGAACTGCTTGCTTATGTTAACAGAGCAATGTTGGTAATGGAGCAGCAAATGAGTTCAACACTTTGCTGCAAATAAACTCAGCTGAGTTTCAAATGAAAAGAGTGACTGGGAGAAGAGGCAATTTCTTTAACTTCCAATAAACTTGCATTTTATGTGAAACTTGGCATTCTGGTAACTAGCTGGATCCTTACTATTGATTCCCATAGTACACTTTTCAGCTTTGTCTAATGAGAAAACTTAATTTTATCTGTTCCTTTATATAGAGAGTCACAATTACATAAAGGTGCAGCTTGAAGCACAGAACACACACAGCCCTTCCAGCCTCTCCATTCCTGCAAACTCCCCTCTGAACACAGAGCTCAGAGCACAGATTCCTGGCCAGGTGTGCAGAACCAAACATGTACAGGGCAGTGCATCTCAGGCAAAGGCAGCGCTGATTCTGAGATTTATTAATCATTAAGTGATTAATATTATATTTGTGTTTGAGTTTTGTTGTAGTTCTTGTCAATTTGACAAACTGGTGGTCAGGAAAATGCTTCTGTGCTGACAGCTCACATGGGACAGAATCCCAGGACATCTCAGAGGCATCTGAACCCCAGAATGGAGCAAACTGCAGCAGCACAAACCCCCAAGGCATGGGAGAGACTGAGAGCTCTGCAGTGGCACAGCCTGAGGGGAGCAGCATGCAGGAAACACAGCAGAGCTCAAAGCTCCTCTGGTTCTTCAGAAATGCCTGGAAAGCTTGTGGAGAAACAGCAGCTGAACAGGTGTTGTGCTCCCTTATACAAACATTCTAGGGGAATTAGTAAGGATGAGACTATAAGAGCAGGAATGATCACTGAATTAAATTGCTGAGACTAAATTCCACCTAAACCCCATGTGAAAGCATGGGAGTCAAAGGAACTTCTTAGGTTGTTTGGTTCTTGGATCAAGGTTAAATTTTCAAACGATTTACACTCACAAGAACCAGTGACCAGTAACCTCTCTAGAATCCAGAAAAAAATTACTTAAAATGCTAACACTGAGAACATCTGGAAAGTTCTCCCCTAAGCCTTTCCAGCCTTCAGCTAGATCAACTAATTCTCTTTCAGTAATAATTTGGTAAACCAAAATCCATGCAACTCACATGATAATGGAATATACAATTCTTCATTAATTATTAGTTCATAATATGATGTATCTGTTGTATGGCAATTCTGTCTGTATTCTTTGCCTCTGATGAGCTCCTGTTTACTCTCCTTGAATAAGTTTTACAATTTTACAGTTTTTCATCAGGATGAGCAGCAGAAAAGTGCCACTGGTGATTTTTTCCCCTGCTTGCCTGTCTGTTTTACAAGTGCAAAATAAGGTCCTGGGTAGATAAATAAACCTCTTATTCCAGTTTTTCTAAGAACATTTCCAACCTTTTTCCTTTCTTTGAGGAAATTCTAATAATACATCTGTTTTCAAATTTCCCTTTATAATCTTCAAAGCATGTAAAAAATGCAAAACTAAGCATTTCACCTTTTAGTTTCTTACACTGAATATTAACACAAGTTTAGTGGGTTTTGTTGTATACTTAAAAGCCAATTAATGTACTCTGGCAGTTAGATTCTGCTTTCTATAATTCAGTAACAGCTATAAAGCAAGTTTTAGTTCTCTGAAACTGAAATAGCTTTTGAACTTCTAAAATACTTTTGTAAGCACTGAGCATGTGAAACCAAGGAACTAACAGAGGATTTACAAATTAAAACAAGTTGATGATATTCAGCTGTTGTTAATATCATGTAATCAAAACCAAATACACCTGTTCTTCAGTTTGGGACTTACTTAAATTAAAGCACTCAGCCAAATGACAATTTTACCCTTGATACAGCCCAATGTTGCTTTGCAGTTTTAGGAAATACATTTATAAAATATTTATTAATCAGCAAACAGCGGATGTTTTCTTTAGATTAATTCTTGGCCAAAGGAAAGGGAAGGAGTCTCAAGGAAAAAAAGCTGTGTCTGATGCTTGGTTTATAGCAGACAGCAGAAGCATATGAAAAAGAATCTGTGTGACTTTCTAAAGACATTATATTGAAAAAAATAAGAAAGTTCCTGTAAATTAAGGAGCAAATTAACCAATCTTTTTGAGAAGTAAAACATCTCAGAACTGTTTTCAGGCCACCATGGAAGGCTCAACAAAACCCAAAAAACATCTTTGAAGGGAAACACAGGACACATCCTATATTTAATAGTGATATTTTTGACACAGGGCAGGGAGAGCAGAGCAGGGATGTCAGCCCCTTACCCTACGTGCACATGGAGCAAATATCACCCTGCCCTGCAGAGCCTGGCACGGGGACTGTACAGTGTGACAGCAAGGGACAGCCTGGCAGGGCTGTGCACAGCAAGGGACAGCCTGGCAGGAGCTGTGGGACAGCAAGGGACAGCCTGGCATGGGGACTGTGTACCCCAAGGGACAGCAAGGGACAGCCTGGCAGGGGCTGTGTACCCCAAGGGACAGCCTGGCAGGGGTGGGGGACAGCCAGGGACAGCCTGGGAGGGGCTGCGCACAGCAGGGACAGCCTGGCAAGGGTGGGGGATAGCAAGGACAGCCTGGCATGGAGACTGTGCAGTGTGACACCAAGGGACAGCCTGGCAGGGTTGTGCCCAGCAGGGACAGCCCGGCAGGGGCTGTGGGACAGTCTGGCAGAGGCTAAGGGACACCAAGGGACACCCTGGCAGGGGCTGTGTACCCCAAGGGACAGCCTGGCATGGGGACTGTGTACCCCAAGGGACACCAAGGGACAGCCTGGCAGGGGCTGTGTACCCCAAGGGACAGCCTGGCAGAGGTGGGGGACAGCAAGAGACAGCCTGCCATGGGGACCGTGCAGTGTGACACCAAGGGACAGCCTGGCAGGGTTGTGCCCAGCAGCGACAGAGGGGTGGGGGACAGCAAGAGACAGCCTGCCATGG